TCAGACCTCTGTGCCTTTGCCCAGGCTGTTCCCTCTCCTGAAGCACCTTCCCCGACTCCTCCTGGCACTTGCCAGACGCTCCTGTTTCCTCTTTGGCTCCTGGGCTCCCAAACCTTCGATCTAACTTCTCTCCTACGTGGGAGGAACGTGAATTTTTAATCCCAGGCTCCCCGGGGTTAAGCAACAGAGCTGCATTTCCTGGTCTGCGAGGCGCGGGGCTCCCACGCAGACATTTTAATCTAATCATTTCTCATTCATTACAGCTTCACAATCTCTTCAAGGCTGTTGCTCTCCATCTCTGGCCTGAGCCCAGACTCATGTTCTGTAGTGTGGAGGGGAGGCTGCCTGGATGGGGCGCCTTCTCAGTCCTGCTCCAGGGAGCACGCTCCCCTCCTCCACTGCTCAGGGCCCTGCCAGGGCTGACCTCTCCTAGCCTGGAGTCAGGTTGGGGGGCCTGTCCCAAGGGGTGACGATCCCAGGTGATCTGGTCAATCCTGGTCCTTGGGGGATACACCAGTCCTCTCCCACAACCCTCTGCGCCCTTCTCGGGTACGGGGGACGTCCATCTCTCCTTCTCCCACAGGCCCTCGGACATGTCAACATCCAAGTGACTGGTTGACTCTGGAGCCCCCACAGGGAGGCCTTAGCGGTGCCTGCCAGTGTGTTTTAGAAGGGCAGGCTGGGGCAGGAAGGCAGCATGCGGAGTGTGCACTGGCCCTGGCCCTGGCCTAGCTGCAGTGTTGGTGGCATCTCCTGGGCTGTGGAAACATGGGCCTTGGCGGCTCCGCTCAGCCCAGGTGTCGATGTGGCCAGGCTGTGAGCATCTCCAGGGGAGTCAGCAGATGCTCAGGGTAGACCTGGAGGAAACTCTGGACCCTCTTCCCTAAGTGACGGGCAGACAGGACGGCTCCTTCTGCCAGGCCTTGCAGGCATTTACTTAGGGCATCGGCTTGGCTGGCGCACGCTGACAGGGCCTGGGCTCAGAGCCCGGCTCCTGGGGACACGGGCTTTCCCACAGCTGGGGGCAGGGGCAGAGGGGGCACATGGGCTTGGAGACAGGGAAGGAATGGCACACACGTCTCACCAGCCTGACCCTGTTCCTTTTCTGGGCTCAGGCTCAAAGCTGTTCACAGGGCTCCCTCACATGGCTCTTTTGGGAATTGCAGCCATCCAGGGAATGACTGACCAGTTCTTGAGTGGCATCAGCGGACCCACATTCGAGGCAGGCTTTGGTGAGCTTACTGATGAAACGGAGGCTCAGGGAGGGGGGCGCCTTGACCCCGCTGTTTTTGCCTTTGTTGTCACCTTGTGACCTGGGAGAGCCCCCGTGGTACAGTGGAGCACCTTGATTCTGGGTCTTTTGAGTCCAGGGAACCACACCCAAGGGCACGGGTGAGTCCTTTGGCCCCCACCTCCACCCCCTTTAAAAATCTGTGAAAATCAGCTCTACAGTTCCCTCCTCCCTAATTCACATCTGCTTGCACACAGGTAGCAACGGTGAACTCATTACCTCAGTCCAGCCGGCCCGCTTTGTTGCTAACACTGGGGCGTGGCAACGGCCACTGGGAAGGGAGGGCAGGCCTTGGCTGGGATGGGCAAGGGAGTGGGCTGTGAAAAGGCAGGAAGCAAAGCTAAACCCTAGTCCCAAGGGGCAGCACGACAAGCCGGCCAGTCCGTAGGGGGTGGTGGGTGGGTGTTAGTCCGTCCACCCATCCCTATCAGGGACCTTGTGAGGCAGAGCCTTCAGCGTCTTGTCTGGGGAGCTGGCTGGGATGGTGACATGTAAATCCCACTAATGAGACAGTGAAGACAATTCTGCCCATTTTGTTTTATTGTTAAATTGCTAAAAAGTCATGGGGGGGGGGCATTAACAAAAATGAAACCGACACAGATCGAAATACCAGTGAAATTCACGTTCTTCACTCTACGCTGTTATGTACCTACAATGACCACCTCAGGGAGGCCACCTGGACTCTGAGCAGGGCAGGGACATTGCTCGCAGCACCGGCTTGGCCGGGCACAACAGGCGTGCACCGGCATGAACCCTGGTTGGCGGGAGGGGAGCAGCGCAAGTGGTCAGGGGTCCCGAGGTTTGTCTCCTCTCAGGTGAGCCGGATGTGTGAGCGGCGAGCATGCAGAACACGCCTTTGGCAGCTCATTGGGCGGCTGTGCAGACCACGTGCAGACCCTGCCCGCTGACCTGTGTGCTGCGGAGACTGAGAATGCCACACAGCGGGCACAGCACCATGCTGGGGTCACCATGAGGGGAGGATAGACAGGCAGGCAGACAGCCGACCAGGAACAGCTCTTTTTAGGGGAAGGGAAGGAGCCAAGTGGAAGCCACCCCCTGGTGGCACTCTGCTCAGAGGTGAAGGCAATGCTGAAGTTCGCTTCATTTCTTCCTCCACGCCTTTTCCAGATGAGCGTTCCGACACAGTTCCTAACAGAGCCTACAGTCTCAGCTCTACCTACAGAGCCCAAGTGTTGAGATCAAATCAATCTGCAGATCTGGTTGGGAGGAGCCTACGCTGGGCGCTGCCTTAAAGCAAAACGTAATCTCGTTTGGACGCCTTTTGTGCTCCCAGACTGTGGGGACAGGGTGGGCAGGGGGCCCTCTTTGTCACGGAAGCTGTGAAACAGGAGCGAGCACGGGAGGGCGGGTTGGTGGTCCGCACCGGTGGCGTCAGTGCGATGGGGGCTCTCAAAGGCACACTTGCAGGAATGGAGGGGGTTTAAAGCTTCAAGTAGAAACAAAATGTACTTTAAATACTTAAATACTGATAAATATTTGCTTTTAGGTGCTCCTGAGGGTTTTCTCAGCAACTTTTAAGACAAAATCGGTGTCACGTCAGAAAACGGAGTTGTAGCTACATCTGACCGCACGGAACGCCATGGCTCTGTGGGTGCTCCCCTCAGTGGAGACACCTGGAGTTCCACCGCACCCACGGCTCACAGGCACGAGTGGAGACCATCACCGGCCTTCTCGGAGCCTTCTCCCGAGGTATGTGGCTCGGTGCCCAGGACCCAGAGAGCCCGCCACCACCAGGGAAGGCCCGGCAGTTTCTCAAAGAGCTGTAAACGCGCAGCCGTGTGGATGATGCTGGGAGTTCACGGGGCGCCCTGCTCTCTAAGAGGATCCTCGTCTGTGGTCCTGCCTGCGTGGGCAAAGCAGGCCAGGTGGGCAGCTTGCTTAGGAAGGCCACAGAGGAAGGAAACGATTACGAAGTGGAGATTCTGACCGTTTGGGCTCCCACAATGTTAGAAGTAAGGGAACTGAGGTTGGAGGCATTGTCCGGGACCAAACGCAAGGTCATCAACAAGGTCAGAGCAGCAGGAGAGCTCAGTGCCGGGCTCTACTCCGCTCGTGCATGAGCGCTCCACGTGGTTGAACAGTCTTTGCCAAGGAGGGACTGGCAAGGGCCCAGGGCAGGGAGTCTGGGGAGCCAAGGGCTGAGCTTTGAGCAGTTGGACACCACAGCAAGCACTCACACAGGCAACAGTGTCTGGGACGCAGCCCCTGCCTGGGAGTTGGCCCTCCTCCCAGGCTTGGCACAGGCGGGTGGGGGGGCGGGGGGCAGCGGCTTTCCCACTGTAAAAAGCAGATGGTTTGGGGAAAGGATTCAACATCATGTGTCACGGGGAGAAAACATCCTTATCATCAGACAGACTGTGAAGTGCCGGCAGTGAGCCAGGGCCAGCAAAACGGGCTTGTGCTTGGGAAATGCTAACAAGAAAGGGGGATTGGGGGGTGCGGGTGGGGGTAGCGTGGGGAATGCAATGTTTTGAAATCTAAATTTAAAGTCTAAAGGCAAAATAAAAATCCTCTTAAAAGCCACATGTTAAGTGGTGCCAATTGAAATCTACTTATTCTAGTGTTTCCTATGTCCAAGATGTGTTTTAGGGTAGTAAACTTGTGATTTCCTGTGCCACCCAAAGAAATGCTTGATTTGGAAGCACCCCAGCTCTGTCTGAATGAACAGAAAGTTAAAAACCGAGCCCCCAGCCCCCACTCCCGGTGACACAGGGATGGGACACGCTGGAAGGCCGGAGCTGCCTTCAGGGCCAGTCATTTGTGACATTCAGCCCCATCACTGGTCCACAAGCCAGGCCAGAAAACACCTGTTCACAGGAGACAACGGTTCCCAGTAGGAACTGCGATCAGTCGGGGGGCCGCTACAGGATTGACGTCCACATTCTGTAAGAAGGCTGGCATGTCCAGTGCGTCTGGGAGACAAAAGGCTGTCCACAGGGAGCAACCGGTGCCGGCTGGCGCTTCCTGCTCCAGAATTCCAGACTGGGTCCCTAGTAACACCGAGAAGAGTTCTAGTTTTAACCTGCATCTTATTTTTCTAGGCACCTGGGCTTTGTGAGTGAAACAGCGTGAGAAGAGTTATAGGGCTTAACAAATCTAGATATTTAAAAAAAAAAAAAAAAAAAAAGCCTACAATGGAAAAGGTAGCCTCCAAGGACCAAGTTTTTAGGGACAAAAGGAGAGACACAAATGTGGTTTTTGGAAAATTGCAACCGAATATGATTGTCAGAAAATGCCACAATCAGACACCAATTGTTTTCTGAGACACGCTGGGGGCACGCCAAAGGCCAGTGGACCATGCAGACAGGTGTCTGGCGCATAACCACCGCTCCCCTATGATCCTGGCACACAGATGTCAGAGCCAGTTTGGGTCCCCTTCCTCCATTATCAAGGGCAGAGTGGGCCAGACAGAGGGCAGGCCCTCAGAGAAGTTTTCCCAGGACCACTGGGGCTTTCTGAGGACCGGGGAGAGGCAGGCCGACTTTACAGGTCCCCTTCACCCCACCAGAACCCGGAAACCTCCACTTGTATGCTTTGCACAGGCCCGACTCCCTCTGACTCTCAAAGGCCACACCAAGACTTCCAGGGGCTCTTCGGGGCCGTGTGGAAAGTTATGACAGTAGTTCGTCTGTCCCCTAAACTCTCGGTCTAGTTATCAGCAAAGTAGAAAAGGCAGCACAGCCTCTGCTAAAACACAGCAACGATTTTATGGGAACCAGGACGGAGGTGGCTCCCCTTTTGTAAACAGAGTAGGCTATATAATATATATCTATATGTTTATATATCATTTTTTTCTGGATGGAGAGTGGGTCCCAGCCTGAAGTGAGGGAGGTTGGGGAGCTGGGGTTCTGGTGCCTGGGAAGAGTCACTTTGTTCTTTGTTTTCCCAATTCTCAGTCCAATGGTCGCCCACTGGACATCCCAATGAACAGCCACAGAGGGGGGAGGCGGGCACACGTCATCTCTTCGCGCGCACGAAGTACAAGGCGTTTGTCTTGGGGTAGTACTTCACATTCTGCTTCTTGTCCATGAGCCCTCCGAATATGATGAGCTCCCCCCTGCCCTGCACCACCGTGTGCAGGCTGGTCTCTGGAGGCCCCACCACAGAGCTGCTATTGAAGACTTTCCATTTGACCTGCCCCTTCTCCTTGGTGGCCTGGATGTCCAGCACGTACATCTGCATGGGCTTGCAGTTCATACTCTGGTAGAGAGGTTTGCCGACGTTTAGGGACTGTGGAGGGTGGTGGCCCAATCGGCGGGCAATGGGAGGCAAGGAATGTCCGTCCCCTTGGGCTGGCCCTGGACGGGGGACGGGCACTGTCTCGCCGCTGCTCAGACTCTGGTTCCCAGGGGAGCCTGGAGAAGACCCGAGGGGAGGGCTCAGGGCCGAAGAGGCTGAGGGGCCTTTGGGCGACATAGCTTTGATGGCTTCCAGACTCCGCCGCAGGGCCCCAGGGGAGACAGCCCCCGCAAGGGCAGTGGCCACGTGCGGTGGGGTATGCACGCCATTTGTCTGTTCTGAAGGGTGTCTCACACTGGCCCCCACTGTCCTGTTGTCCACGCCATCTGTGTGGTTGCTGCTGGAAGCAGGCTTGAGGTCCCCGAGTCTCAGGTCTTTCTGATCTGGCAGGGATCCTCGTCGGGAGGCCACAGAGAGTCCCAGTTTTAGGTCATACCCTTCGGCGGCAGATGGCGTGCTTGGAGAGATAGCCTGTACAGGGCTGTCCAAGGAGGACCCACCGGCAGCTGCTGTTCCCGGAGACAAACTTCCACCATTGAGGATGGGAGAGCCATCTCCTCTGGCTGGGGAAAGACTCCCTTCCCGGGAGCCGGAGGGGGTCTGCCTTTGAGCCCTGGGCCTCAGTGTCCCCCAGCGGCCGTTCACACAAGGGGCTTCATCCAGACTCCTTACTGGAGACTGAGAGCGGTACTCTCGGGTTTCCGGAACCAGGGCTGGAGGAGTGGCACTGATGGGTGATGGGCGAGAGTTCAAACTGGGGCTGAGTGGGGCTCTTCCACTGGGAGCCTGGCTGAAGACCACCACACACTGCCCTACCTGCAAGACAAACAACATGTGCTCACAGGCTCTCGCACCATCAGCCACGAGACATTCTACAATGACCATTTGCAACATGCCAAGCATTTTGTAGGTCCTTGAGATGCAGGGATGAAAATGAGGCTAGAAGGGGAGACAAGGCATGAAAACAACCCGTTGCTTTTGTGGGGCATGGGCTATTCTTATGAGAGTTACGACCAGAAACTCTGGTCGCAGGGGTAGGACTTAATGGCCCCTGGAGCAGTTTTCACAAAGTGATGCCCACGGTGGGACGCACATACTCAGACAGGAGGGAGATGCCCAAGAGCTACGGCTTACATCCACCGCTGTGATGACAGCAAGGGGCTGTTAGCTCAGGGTGTGTTTCCTTTGTCATCGGACATATTCATTTGGTTTTACAGCCAGGCCCCCTCGCTGCTGGCTGCCAACTCCTTGCTTACCCGGCAGGCTGGGTGGCACCACAGTTCTGGGGCCCCATGATCTTCATTTTCCACCTTGAGTGGCTGCCAGGACCAGGGGCCCGAGTGCATGTGCAGCAACCAGGCGTCCTTGAAGAGCTGTAAGAGAAAGGCCACAGGAGAACTCGTGCAGTGCCTGTCACCCAGAGTGAGCGCCTCGCGGCCGCGCTGCCTGCCTTAGGAGGATGGGAATTCTCCCGGGATCTACTCAACAACGATGCACAGCGTCCACTCGTGAACCACCCCCCTCCGGTGCCCAGCTCACCACCAGGGTGAGCCAAGCATAAGCGCTAGGAGTCTGCCTATGCATATTTGGGGACGGGGAAGAAGGTAGACAGTACATGTCTTTAACTTTCCGAATTGGCATTATTACGTAGGTTCCATGCGGACTCTGGCTATTCTCGAATTGCTTTTCTGTTCAATGTTCCTGACAAAATCATCTTAGCCAACTTCACGGCCCGAAGAGAAAAGGCAGCTAGGAAGCTAACAGGCAGAAACACCCAAGAGCTGAGTGCCTCCTCCCCCATCGAAAGCATTCCCACGCTCCAGGAAACTGGAGAAGAGGAAACAAAGGCTCCCCACTCAGAGGGGAGAAGGTGGCCCCGGTGACGGCCTCACAGAAATGTCTTGAGCACACTGGTGAAACGAAGGAGCAGCAGCAGGGGGACCCTGAGCAGCGTGCGTCTCAGAATGCCCGCCAGCATACTCACAGCATTGGGGCCGCCACACCCTCCAAGGACCAGGATGGTTGCGTCATCTAGGACAATCTAGGAAGGGAAGAAGTTCAAAATAAGCCTCTGCAGATCACAAGGGGTCTGGCTTTGGGTGTTTTGGGGGTATATGAGGCTAGCCCACCCTGTTCTCAGATGAGCATTAGCATAAAGCTCTCCGTTCTCCCCAAGCCTCGTGAATCCTGATCCCTGCAAATATATTACTGATGAGACCAGAATCGGATGTATTTTCTGTGGATCAAATAGTAACATCTGAGAGTGCCAACCACATAAAAGGCACAGTTCCCTTGAGAGATGAGCTAGCAGAGTGGACGCTCTGGGGAGAGACATAATATAAACCCACGACAAACACGCAGAACCCACTAGAAGATGCAAAATAAACACCCGCAAAAAAGAACGGAAAATTCTTTTTGACAGTGCACGTTGCATCTTGCCTGGTGCCCTCCCCCCTCTCCCGTCCTAACTGAAAGATGCGATAGTGTTTGCTGAACAGTTATTTTAAGTCCTGAGCACCTGAGATTGGCCCCCTCGAGGGTGAGGACTGGGGCCAGAGATGTTCGGCTTGGACCATGCCCACTGCTCGAGGTCCAGGACCCAGACATCGTTGCTCCTGTGGAATAAGGACAAAGGATGAAGGAGGCGAGTGGCCCTAGGGGCCACAAAATCAGGGGAGTCCAACATGCCCAGCTAGCCCGCCTGTCCCACTTGTACTTCCACACGGAATGTCTGTGCCCGGGGGGGCTTCAGGGACGACGGACCACTCGGCTGGCAGAGCCCAGGGGCTTCCACACCTGAAGACTGTTGAGGAGCCCGGACTCTGCAACCTTGAGCAAGTCACGTGATTGACTGTGCCGCTGGTTTCCTTACTCTGACATGAATACTACTGTTCTGAAGAACTGGTGTCACTGATGGAATTGTGTCCCCGCCCCGCCCCGCCCCACCCCAATATACATCAATTTGCCTAGGCCCTGATCTCCTGTATTACACGGTTGTCTTCCATTTTGCAATTACTCTCCACTTCATGTGCTGTAAACTTCAACTTTTCTCTATCAACGAGGAAAGATCAGGGTGAGTTGTATCTTGAGGGTCGTAGTCCTACAAGAGGCCAGGAGTGGAATTACACCACCTTTACAGGCCTCCCACTGCATTCCTACAGGAGATGAAAGAACAGAGCAGGAAGCAGAGCTGGGCCCAGGGTTTCTGTGTGAGAGGGACACTGGTGCCAAGACACCAGGAGACCCCCCAGGGATGCCGGAGGGCGACAAGGCCCTTCCTCCAGAACAGACTGAGAGAAAAAGCCTTTCCTTAGGGTTGGTGCCTCAATGCGGACTTCTTGGTTCCTAAATTAATTTCTGAGAGAATAAATGTCTGTTTGTTGAAGCCACTGGTTTAAAGGAGGCTGCAGCAAGTGTTGTGCTCACGGCCAGTCCCTCCCTCCCTCCCCGTCTTTTTCTTCTCACCCTTCCCTCGGCCCCATCTCTTTCCTCTGACCCAAAAGCCTCATCCGACGTATGTTTGTAGCCACACACTATTATCAAAAGTAAAAGCGACTGGGCGATAGCAGAAACTAGCTACCGGTTGAGCTGTAGTTTTTAAAAAACAAAATCCACAAGGAAGAGAAAATTGTTTAAAACGCAACTTAATCAATGTCCAGGAGTCCTAGGGATGTATCCATTCTAGCTACAAAACACTAAATTTCACAGTGTCTAATGAATGCTATCAGGAGGCTTAGAGGCTGCTCTGCTAACTGCAGAGTCCACAATTCAAAACCACCAGCTCCCCTGCAGGAGAAAGACGAGGCTTACTACTCCCGTAAAGAGTGACAGTCTTGGAAACCCCAAGGGGAAGTTCTACCCTGTCCTATAGGGTCACTATGAGTCAAAATAAACTCAATGGCAGAGAGCTTGATGTTCTCTGGTGTGAATGCTAGTTTTAACAAGGGCAGATAGACATTCAACCCTCAAGGGAGCAGCACACAGCAAGGAGAAACTCCTGGATGGCAGCCACTGTTTTATTCACGCATAAGGATATCAAATAACTTGTCAAGACCCAAGCCCTGTCATCTGGAGGCAGCGCCACACTGGTTTAAAGCACAGTGATGAAGGGCAGGATTGGTCTGTAATGGCGTTCCTGGCAGCACATCCACTTCCATTCGAGCTGGCTTTTGGCTCGAGCCTGAGCTGGTTGGGAATAGGCGGAGGAGGAAAGGACAGGAACGGGGCTGGAAGGGTGTCCCACCTGCCAGTTTCTTACTCCTACTTTCCTCCTGCTCACCCTGCTGCTGCCTCCTTCTCTAGTCCAGAGAGCAAGAGAGCTAGGCAAGCAAGCAAAGCAGAGAGGCCCATGCTTCTTGGGCACGGGGCCTTCTACAGGCAGAGGGAGAACGGGCAGGGGGGAGGCACCATCAGAACTCGATCCTACAGACAGAGTTGCGGACCAAACAAGACTTCCAGGTCGCCTTGACTTTATAGGGCAAGTCTTTCTACTTGCTGGTGCAGTACCAAGGACTCAAAGACAGGCAGAGGCGCTGTGGAGACCACTGAGAGGACTGAGGAGAGGCCTGCTCAGGAACAGCAAACAAGCCAAATGTACTTACATTTGCCGGGACCCCAAGGAGCCACCAAAGACAATCATTTTATCATCTATCACACAGGAGGAGTGGCCAGCCATAGGAGGTGGCCCATGGGTCGTCACAATGCAGTTCCACCTAATGTTAAAAAGAGAAGAGGAAGCAAAGTGGAGACCAAGAAGTCAACATATCTGCGTCTGGTCTTAATATGTTTAAAGTGGAAGACAGGAAGCTGACCCCATCTAACATGACAATCCTATCACCCTGGGCAGCGATACTGTTAGGACAATAGATGGAGAATGGTATAAGTGTTTATGCCTTTCACATTCAAACTCTCAGTGTGCAAGGCCGTGGTGGTTAGGGGAGAAATAGGACGACAAGACACTACCATCAGGCTCCTTGGTTGCTTCAGCCTAATTAGCGGGAGTTGGCTGAGAGCACACACCTGCAACCTCTCCCATTTACAAGCCCTGATGGCAGCCGCTGCCAAGAACCCTGTACCGAGTGTTCATGACAAGGAACAAAGCAAGCTGTCATTTAGAAAGGACATATTTGAAAAACAATTGAGAGATAGTCTTGGGGACATAGCAGGAGTAGGGAATCATCTGGATCTACAACACTCCTGGGAATCTGTGAACCAAAGTTGATGAACTCCCTGCTCTTCAAATAGTTCCTTCCCTTTAGAATAAGCGTTCTTATACCTAGGGTGTTGAGGGGTCCTTTAAGTGCTCTGAAATTGTAGACA